CAACAGATTTGAAACGATCGCAACGATCTCGCTGATACGTCGATCTCGATGCGAATACGAAATTATTTTTGTACGGAGATGTACGTGACGATCCGTTGGAAATATATCGTTCGATTCATTAATTAATTTTTCGAATAATACCAAATCGTGATCGTGACTTCACCACTCTCACTCGGTTTAAGTTAAAAATAATTGAATTACTCATGCATACAACTGTTACATATATTGCATAATATCAAATAATTGAAACACACGTGGTTTACATTTTCATTATATTATTAACGATGGCAAGAAAATAGGAAAGAAATTGTATATTAAATATTAGCATAACCTCTATGAAATCTACTGAAAGATATGTTTAGGTAATATAACCTCTCAAGAGAAGTATAATAAATCATGTGGAATTAAACTTGCTCAAAACTTTAGGATAAAAGAAATTTCTTTTTTTGTAATAGCTATTGACACTTGTTATTAAAAACAAATATTCTTTTATTTGTTAGACTGATTATTAATTACTTGTTACTGCTGTATATTTTGATCTGCCATACTGTCACGTATACTGTCTTTTCTACCTTATGGTTGCAATCAGTGTAGAAATTTAACAAATAAAAAGTAGATAATGAGAAGGAATTAAATATTTTAAGAATGTATTTTATGAATCTATCTGAGCAATGTTTAAATCTGCTCGTAAAAAAAGAAATATTCCTGCAAGATTATTCACAGTTTCATAAAAATGTTTTGGCACGTTGTATCATTTGAATTTGTGAATATATTGATTAGTTTATTATCATTAACCAAATATAGGATAAATGTTTCCTGTACAAAGGATAAATGTTTCCTGTACATTTACTCTTGTATTTGAAACTCTAAAAGCACAATTACTTTTACGCTCTTTCGTTCATTTCATCCTTATTCAACACATCTGAATAATTTTTGTTCTTTTTTGCACCTTTGTCTCTCTGAAGTAAAGGCAAAGGCAACAGCACAGTGATAAACAAGGAAAGAAGAAAATTCTAATTCACAATAACCAATGTAACACGTCGCAGTATATATTCCTATAAATCTCTCTTGATAAAGCCTTAATGTCGGTCTAATCTTATTGATATTATGTTACAAAGATGTAAGATGTAAATTGTCTGATCAGACAAGAAAGTTGCACTGAAACACAAAAGTGCGTTGTAAAAATAATTATAACCTAGTGTGCTTCTATAGGACACAGTCTACATCCACATAGTAGTTTATAATGACCTTGCATGGATATAGAAATGTCAGTGACTTAGAATATGGTAAAAATTTCGTGGTGAAGTGTATCAAAAATAGTACATACCAATTTCCATTTGAAAAGAAGTCGAACGTCCTTGCACCAGAAAGAAAGAAAGAATTTCGAGAGAAGTTGTCCAGTGAAGCAAGTGGTCGAGGTTTGAGGCAGAGTTGCGACCTGCGAGAGGAAAGTTTTGTGCCGTTCCACGAGGAAATACGAGCGTCGGTGTAGTTTCTTCGTTAGGAAAATTTCGATCGCGGTATCGAGCCTCGGTCGGGGAATTTCGCTGGGACACAGAGGAGACGAAATAGAGCCGGTAAAGCCAGCTGCACGGACGCGTACAAGCCTGTACGGCTACGAAGTCGTCGAAGCGAGGTTTGTCAGTGTTGCACGTTTCCAAACACTTCCCGGCCCTCGACGTTACGCAATATTCCACGTAAATACATAACACATTTTCCCGAGAGCTCCAGTGAAAAATATTCGTCCTGCGGTGCTCCTTTTACAAAGGAGTCACCTCGAGTTTCGGTAGTAAGCACTTTGGATACACTTGGTTCCCCCGTCGATATATCGGTTCGCCGTCAAGCCGTCCGAACTGATTTCCTGCACAAAAGCTTCGGCTCCGTTGTTTTTTCACGACCAAAAAATCGACGAAGCCTTAACGGGCCGGTCGGTCTGGTCTCTCAGACAGGAATTCACTATGCTTTCTCGGGTCTGCCTTTCAAAACCATCGAAATCTTGTCGTGTGTGTGAAGAAACTCAGTAAAATGCACATTTTTGCGAGTACTTCGACGAATTACCGCACTTTTTAAAAAAAAACCCAAATGCAAAAGACATACTCGCACTCTCTCGAGGTACAAGGCAAACTATTGGATTTTGTATGGCAAACAAGGAACTGACTGGTCGTATAGCGGGATGAGGAAGGTGGAGGGGATCGTGCAGGACCGTATTCATCCGCTAAGCGTCTCTGTTACCAACCACTCGGGTACCTCCTGCAAAGCGTACGTGTGCCGCAGGCCTCACGAGACTTCTCCTCCAACTTTCATTAATTGTGCATTGATTGATTATTCTCCGGCTTTACTTTTTTCTCTCCGCTGTTCTCCACGACGAACGTATCAATAACCGCACGTCGACAACTACCCTACTACATTAAACACATGGAATCACATGGAATGTAATCGCTACGAAATAATCGTTTTTCGTCGTGATTAACAATGTCAATTACCGATCGTACGAAATCGTGTCTTTCCCTACGCTTGTCGTTTCGGCCGCACTTTCTAGTCCCGAGCACACTGACAGTTTCAGTTTCATATTCCAAACATTTCCAATTTCTGTCTTTGCTTCGTGCTTTTACACTGTCGATTTACACTGTCGACGGTGTTCATATCGGAAATACTCTTGTAACAAGTGGATAACGCGTAATAAGTTAACATTTACGATATAAAGTGCATCTTACAAAGCAACTAATATCTATTAGATATAAATACATTGGAGGAAAGAGCACACGAATATTCTCGAACAGCATACCGCCAAAGTTTCATTCGAGCACTTCACGATCATATCAACTTCTCGTATGTAAGTCACATTACATATAATTACCAAAATATTTCTAACAGCAATGAAACTTTGCACTTCCGAACTTGCCTCCGCTCGAGTATTTGTTGCTGATGCTTCTTAAAGCATATGGAATTTTAATTGCACCGTGCATACGACGGCGATTTGATAGAAAATTGACGGGACACGCGTAACTCCTTGTAAATTAGAATAACAGCATGGGGCATTTTATGCGAATAGTACAAGTACGTAAAAAAAATACATATATGCATATATATATATATGTATGTATGTATGCATGTATGCACGTATACGTAGCAACCAGATAGGATGATACATATAAAAACACGTACACGTTATATTTTTTTAACAAGATGTTGCTCGTGATAATTTCATTCCTTTGGTTTCCGGTTGATAAATACTCTCGTTACGCGGATACTCGCCTGTCGCGATAAATCACGGCAACATTTCGAAATGAGGCTCATTGAGAAAAATATCGCATCGCGTCTCGACGAAATTGAAAAATCGCTAGACGCCTAATCTGTCACGGGTAGGTACAGCCCTGGAAATTGTGGCGGCGAAGCCGCCAAGAGGCGCGCGCAGTCCACAAAATATCCAAGCGTTTCCCCGCGGCCGACATCTTCGCGCGGCCAACAGCTGTTCCGAAAGGCGAGCGAACTCCCCATCGTAATCTGGGTCATGGAAACTGCGCAAAATGGGTTGCACTTGCACCGAAATCGCGCATTTCTTCGAAAACCGGCCTATCGTCTCGAGAATTTCGTCTAATCCAATAGACTGAACGAACACGCGATACGTTGCTATCCACACAATAAAATGCCATTCGAAATATGCAAGCTCCCACGACCAGCCGTTGCATATCTGTCAACGTGCTTGACTGGTTCCCGACGAGAGAGCCGTGCGTCGATTGGCCGACGATTTTCGGGCATCGACCTACGCGCGAGCCTCGAAAAGTGCTAACGATACTCCTTCAATATACGCCGTGTATACGTGGAAAAATCACGTTCTACCGTTCTGCCTTTTATTACAAATCCAGCCTCGTCGATGATCTCTTTCTCGGATCGTTCGATATTGTTTCCAACGCGTCAGAAAGGTGAGCCCAGCCGCTCGTTCTTGTGTTGCGCACGTAAAACGTAATCGAAATCCATTCAATATATATATGTATACCACGTGATTGATTCACTACCTCTTTAACCTTTGTTATTTGTAAATTTCGAAAATTTATTTTCCAAATTGCGTGTTATCACATGGTTGTGCACGCGTGGTGATCGACACACGTACGTGATTGAAATTAAATAAATATCCCGGTTAGAATAAATTCGAACATGCAGTTAATTTTGATCTGCGATCATCTTGGAGCGTGTCTAGCACGTTGATTCAACATGGTTGTTCGTTTAGCAGCTGCTTCCATTCATAATTTACAAAAAAATCTAAGAAAGTCTATTTCGAATGATTGTCGGTCCAAAAATATTTTTGATATACACTAAATTTAATGTACACTAAAAATATATACTAAATTTATTTTCAGTGTCTATTTAGAATTATTTTGAAAGTATCTTCCACGCAATGTCTTTATCTATCGACTTAATGCATCTCCTAATGGTACATATGTATCAATGAAGATGATGTAAAACTGGAAAAAAACATTTGGGATATTAAGAGTTTAATATGTAATAAAACTAAGTAGAAGACATTTAAACAATGTTTAAGAAAGTAATTGTGGGTATATCTGGTGGAGTTGATAGTGCTGTATCAGCATTATTCCTAAAAAATAAAGGTAATTCAAGTGAATACAATATTTAGTATCATACACTGATTTAATAACACAAAAGTATTAAAATTAAAGGGTTGTTGAAGGATTTAATGTCACTGGTGTATTCATGAAAAATTGGGACATCAAAGATGAGACTGGGTTTTGTAAAATTGAGGAGGATTACGAAGATGCACAATGGGTGTGCAAGAAATTAGAAATTCCTCTTGTTGAAGTCAATTTTGTAAAAGAATATTGGCATAATATCTTTTGGTATGTATGCGAATGTTTGTATATTTTTCTTGAAAATTGAAATATCTTATTTGTACTAATTTTTGTAGCTATTTAACAGAACAATATGAGAATGGATATACACCAAATCCTGATATTATGTGTAACAAGTACATCAAATTTGATTATTTTTTTAACTTTGCTCGTACCAAGCTTCAGGCAGATGCTATTGCAACTGGACACTATGTGAGAAGTAGTTTTGGTCCTTACCTGGAATATTTTAAGCCGGATACAAGTAAATATATGATACAATTTTCTTTTTATTAATTTTCCCTTTAAACGTATTAAAATCCTCTTATTCCAACCATTTTATTAGATGTCAGTCTACTTCAAGCTATAGATCAAAAGAAAGATCAAACATTTTTCTTGTGTCAAACACCTCAACAAGCATTAAGATATTCCATGTTTCCTCTTGGAGGATATTTGAAAGAGGATGTTAAACGAATTGCTCAAGAAGCTGGATTAGATAAAGTTGTTTCAAAAAAGGAAAGCACAGGAATATGTTTTGTGGGAAAACGAAATTTTCAAAATTTTATATCTGAGGTACAGCATGATAAATTCAGTGCATGCCAAATAATTTTCTTCTAACGACCAAACAATGATTATAGTACATACTCGACAAACCTGGAGACTTTGTCAACTTGGATGATGGTCAAGTATTGGGAAAACATAGGGGCTTTCATCATTGGACTGTCGGACAAAACATAAGAGTTGAAGGTTTACCAGCTCCATATTATGTGTATAAGAAAGATGTTGACACAAATAATATTATTGTAGTATGTAGAAAAAATGTTAATTAATTAAAATTATAATTATTTTTTTTATTTGAATTGAATGTTTATATGTCTATTAATAACTAAATATTATTTGTATGTCATTAGGTAAAAGGAACACATCATCCTGCACTATATTCAGATTTTATAATAACAAAAAATCCAAACTGGATATCATCAGAGCCAGAATTTAACAGCTTCACTAGAATATTAAATTGCAATTTTCGCTTTCAACATAGAGATCCCTTGGTGCCTTGTACAGTTCACAAAAATTTAACGAATCAATTGATAATTCATCTTAGTCAACAATTAAGAGCACTTACAGAAGGACAGGTAAAGCTTCTTATTTGTTTTTTTTTTT